TTATTAGTTATTCAAGTACCATCTGAAAACAACATGAGTGCTTACGGATTGCTGACAGTTGGTTTTGCAACATTTTCTGGAAAGCGCCCATCAACATCTACTTCAAGCAACCACGTGGCATATAACCAACATGCGAAAAGCTGTTCCGGTTTCTCAAATTCAACTTTTGATTCTGTATGAACTTCTGTCAACACCGGCAACACGTCTTCACTCGAACTCTTCAAATCGAAATTTTATGAAAATCACTCCTCCTCAAAAATTGGGGAAGAAATTGAAACGAAATAATTTTCTAATAATAGTACATCAAAAGTCATAAGTCATGCAAAATAATGATAAACGTACTATGATTTTTGCCGGATAACAAAATGCCACAAGTCGATTCATAAGGGCTTTCATAGATAAGATATTACAGCTGGAAAGGAAAGCTTGTATTCAAAAAAAGTGAGCCAACTGATTCGTTTGAAATGATAATTCCACAAATATAATACATTTAAATTACGTAAGAAATAAGTCGTACATATCTGAATCTAGAACATCCATCCCACTCCTTCGCCCTGTCAATCTATCATCATTACAACTCTTTTCTTCTCAAGAAAGAAGCAAAGCAATAGCCAATTTTATTATTCGGAATAATTGCACAAATCAACGATATATATTTCTGAATTTATGAATCAATTCGAATTCCTACCCTTGGACCAGTAAATCCCGCGGGATGCATATTCTCTCTCTAAAAGTTACAAGTGCTTAACAAAGTTTCGAAAGATGAAACCGTAATTTCATAAGAAACGTACCATTGTTTCATAAGGTCCAGATTCCAATTGATTGATGCGAAGCATGATAAAGCACAAATCCATAACTGAGCTGATTTATATCTATTATATGCTAAATCTTCTGAAACGGTAAACATGTTACAGAAAAAGGAAAAAAAACGATTAAAATGGTTAGTCTCAATCTATATCAGAATGTTTTCCCCTCGTTGCTTAACATCATCGTGAAATTCTGACTATCTCAACAATCTACCTCAAGTTTTAAGCCGAACCGACTTTACATCCACAAAATATCTGAAGTGATTTTAGAGATCTCTTATCATGCACTAATTTATTAATCCGAATAATCTTCTCTTGTAACAGTATTTTTGAAAAAATGAAATCCAAAACAAAGACCTTCGTCATACTCTTTTCGTATCAACATATCACATTCCTTATCAATCAATACGGCTTGATCTGTGAACTGATTTGCCAATGCAGATAGCTGCTTGGGATCTCAAAAAAACTTTTATCATATTTTTAATAAAGGAGTTTTTTTCCATATCTTCCTTTGACTGAAATGATTATCAAAAATATCGAGTTTCATGCATATCATTTACCAATTTCGATCTGGGGAAATCAGGTCAAAGTACGGAAATGGCATCCACAAATCCAACTCAAACAAGTGTGAAAGATGCTAAAATGTGTTTTAAAAAAACTATATGATTCAGAAGAACTGATAATCAAATCAATAAATGAATAAAGAGAAGTCTGAGTGATTAAAGAGAATCTTAGTGGAAACAATTTATACATGGGGGTGGAATACAAATGTCTTCATTGTATAGTTTCAACACAGAAAAATACAGTCTACGTAGAACAGATAATTGTCTTTTAAATAGATAAATGCTTTTTGTGCAAAATTCAGAATAGTAGATATTTCGTACGAATAATTATTTTCCAGTGAAGTGCAAACAAAAATTTTCTTTCACTGCAGAATATCATGTATGATCAATGATTGAAGAAAATGCTAACAGACCTTAACTAGTGCTTGGTTCAATAAATAGAAAAAAACCCGCCTTATACCAAGTTTATACTTATTCCTACCTGACTTTTTCATTGAAAGGAGAAATTTTGCACGGAAAGACGTACAAATAAGTGCCTTCTCAAATTAATCAAACTCTTACCTGATCTTTCGGATTCCAAAAATTTTCCGAATTTCTTTCGATCAACAAAATAATCGAGCCAATTTAATGGTGGCTCTTCACGGAGAAAATTCAAATTATTCATTAGTCTGAAAAACTGAAAGTGTCACGTTAATAAACTGAAAAATTACTTCAAACGTCAAATTATACGTGGAAAATAGATATGTTTTAGAAAGAATACACAGAAAAAAATCCTTTCCTTTTATAATTTATGCAGTTAAGCTAATGTCAAAATCCTTTTCTCAATATTACTTTTCCAAAATGAATTTGAAAATTTTATCCCACATATATAATCAGTAGATCACTAATATATATATATACTAAACAACTGAATAAGGACCATTCCATTAGTCTAACCTGAAAGCCTCAATTATCAGATATGGCCCATTATTCTATTCTTAAAGCCTCAGTGACCATCAGCCAAAGCCCTCTTGAAATCCCCTGTTATCATTTTGCAACCACCATCGAGCAGACCAAACAGATCGATGCAGAACGCTGTTTTACATTTTATGGTCACAAATTTATAGCGGGGCCACATTATTTCCGTGTTTAATTCGGATTTGTTTTTCTTCCCGGTTTAAATTTCGGATTCTGATCTAGTTGCCGGTTCGGTCATTTATGTGTTGTACATTATCCGCGTTTTTTTATCGTTCATCGCTTCAGTCGAAGTTATTAATTTTTGGCTCCCACAATTATTAAAATAATTAATATCAGTGATGTATAGTGAAGGGATATGATAAACAAAATATCCTTTGATTATACAAGTTTGGAATTTATTATTTGCTTGAAAGCTTTGGACATTTGTATGTAATTGCGCTTCAGTGATGATATATATATATATATATATATATATATATATATATATATATATATATATATATATATATATATATATATATATATATATATATA